CACCCAGGTCCCCAATTACTGCTGGGTCGACAGAGGCAAATGGCGTAAAGAAACATGTCCATAGTTTCACCCTGCCCGGGGATCGAACCCGGGTCCACTCGTTGGCGAAGAGAGGATTCTGACCATTACACCACAGGTCGTACATCCATACATACATACATACATACATACATACATACATACATACATGGCCTTATCTGGTTGAACCCGATAAAGACAGAGTGTATCCGATCTACACCGATATCGATAACGGTGTTGGCAAGAAAATCTCTCTCCAGCCTCGTCCGCTTGTGCCGATACCAACTATAACCTCCGATCTGTCCGATATCAACGCGATAGTGTGGTTAGGTTAGGTGTTTGAATTAAATTATCTAGAGCAGAGATACAACTAACCTAACCTAATCTCACCTAACCTATCCCTCCCCCAGAGTTAAGGAGACGGGTTAAGAACGACAGACACATTTCAAAACATTTATATCCAATTTGGCGATAAATTCTGATCACATATTTCATTAATTAAAGCGGCTCCACAGCGCCCCCCCCCTCTCTCTCTCTCTTCCTCCATTCTTCTCCCCTCCCTCCCTCCTTCTCTCCCCCTCCCCCCTTCTCTCCCTCTCTCTTCCTCTTTACTCTATCTTTCAGTTTTTTATCGTTCGTTTCTTTATGTTTCGTTAATTAAAAGGGCATGACGAGGTAAGGGACCTCACAGCAAATGTGTTGAAGGAAATCTGCCGGGATGTCATGGTAGAACCGACCCTCCTTCCATTGGATGGCGAGAACCTCCGTCTTAGGACTTCAAACACATCTAACGAAGCCCGTGTGGACGTCAGTGCTCGAGGATTCTGGACGCGGAGACAGCGAGCCTTGTTTGATGTCAGGATATTCGACCCCATGGCCGCATGTCACCGTAACCTAGCTCTCGATGCTGCACACAGGAGGAACGAAAACGACAAGAGAAGGGCATATGGGGAGAGAATTCAAAACGTTGATCAAGGCAGCTTCACTCCTCTAGTGTTCACAACCTCTGGTGGGATGGGCCCAAGTGCAAGATGTTTCTACGCCAGACTCGCGGAGTTGATCTCCGAACAGAAGCAGCAGCCCAGAAGTTATGTCACAGCCTGGATGAGATGTCGACTGTCCTTCTCTCTCCTTCGGTCGGCTTTGCTCTGCCTCAGGGGAACGAGAGCTTCTGCCCCTACTCCGACAACTGCTGCAGATATTGACTATGAGGCTACAGTCACTGAATGCCGCATAGATCTGCGGCTCAACACAGCCAGGATAGTTATTTATGTATTAGGATATTTAATATTAAGGTAATAAAATGGCGGCGAAGGTGTGGCTATTGGGGGAGGCTGGAGGCCATTTTTAAAATAAAGTAGCAGTAGTAGTAGTAGTAGTAGTAGTAGTAGTACCTCATAAACACCGACCACTCAAATATTAAAAAACCTAACCTAACCTCCCCACTGTAATTATGTATATATATATATTGGACCAGTTATAATTATTTGTACCAGTGTTTCTATATGGACAATTTTATCACTACTGACTAAGATTGTTCCAGTGATAATATTGTACCATTGATTAGTTTTGTTCCAATGTGTTCCAGTGATTAGTTTTGTCCAGTGATTAGTTTTGTCCAGTGATTAGTTTTGTACCAGTTATTATTAGTGTCACTATTGTATTTATGTTTCATAGTAATTGTACCAAATAATTTAAACATATATTGTACCATGAACTTAAAACCTGTACATTTGGTATCAGATATAAAATTTATACCAATTCGAATCAATTATCCCACAATGCTCTATATAACCTGTACCATTGTCCCATTCATCCCAAAATGTGTATAATAATAAAAATAACCTTATTATGTACCACTTCAAGCTTATTGTTCCATTGTACCAACTCTACAGTAATATTCTCTAGCTGTTCTACATCATGGTACAATTACTGTATTTGTACCACATAACGATGATAATTTGTGCTGGGGAATCATTTAGATGCCGTTGTTCCATTGTTCCAGTATCACTCTAATAACGTGTGATTATAGAGACCTTTGGTAAATTTGTTCCACTGTACAATAACCTGCACAATGACGTCATCATACTCCACAATGACGTCATCACCTGCACAATGACGTCATCACCTGCACAATGACGTCATCACCTCCACAATGACGTCATCGCACTCCACAATGACGTCATCACCCCTAACAACTAATTACAGGTGAAAGAATTAAAACGCCAGACGATAATTCCTGTTCAGTGTATAATCTAGACAATAAATCAATAATTCTTTCATTATTTTACATCTTAACTACAACTATGTACAGCAAACTACAAGATTATCACAACATGCACGCAGCAGCGATAACAGAGTGAACAAAAGTAATGAACAAATGAACATATATAGTGAATGAATGAACAAAATAGTGAACAATTGAACAAATATAGTGAATGAATGAACAAATATAGTGAATGAATGAACAAAATAGTGAACAATTGAACAAATATAGTGAATGAATGAACAAAAATAATGAATGAACAAATTAGTGAACAATTGAACAAAAATAGAAAACATGAATGGATAAATTAAACTAAAAGTCGAAACACTTGAACAAAGATATTCAAGAATAACAAAAATCTGAACAATTGAACATAACAAGAAAATTTAAAAAAAATTATGAACAAAAGATACATCATTAATAATATTCTTTGGTATTATATCGAGACTAGGCACTGTTAGCTGTGGTGCCAAGCTAAAGGTGGCACTGTTAGCTGTGGTGCCAAGCTAGCTGTGGTGCCAAGCTAGAGGTGACACTGTTAGCTGTGGTGCCAAGCTAGAGGCGGCACTGCTAGCTGTGGTGCCAAGCTAAAGGTGGCACTGTTAGCTGTAGTGCCAAGCTAAAGGTGGCACTGTTAGCTGTGGTGCCAAGCTAGCTGTGGTGCCAAGCTAGAGGTGACACTGTTAGCTGTGGTGCCAAGCTAGTTGTGGCACTGTTAGCTGTGGTGCCAAGCTAGCTGTGGTGCCAGCTAGAGTGACACTGTGGCTGTGGTGCCAAGCTAGTTGTGGCACTGTTGGCTGTGGTGTAAGCTAGAGGTGACACTGTTGGCTGTGGTGCCAAGCTAGAGGCGGCACTGCTGGCTGTGGTGCCAAATTGAAGGCAGCCTGCTAGCTGTGGTGCCAAGTTAGAGGCGGCACTGTTAGCTGTGGTGCCAAGCTAGAAACGCTGCCTGGCTGTGGTGCCAAGCTAAAACACTGTTAGCTGTAGTTGCCAAGCTAAAGGTGACTGTTAGCTGTGGTGCCAAGCTAGCTGTGGTGCAAGCTAGCTTTGGTGCCAAGCTAGTTGTGGCACTGTTGGCTGTGGTGCCAAGCTAGAGGTGACACTGTTGGCTGTTGCCAAGCTAGTTGTGGCACTGTTAGCTGTGGTGCCAAGCTAGAGGTGACACTGTTAGCTGTGGTGCCAAGCTGGCCTGTGGTGAAGCTAGAGGTGACACTGTTAGCTGTGGTGCCAAGCTAGTTGTGGCACTGTTAGCTGTGGTTGCCAAGCTGAGGCGGCACTGCTGGCTGTGGTGCCAAGCTAAAGGCGGCACTGCTGGCTGTGGTGCCAGAGCTAGAGCGGCACTGCTAGCTGTGGTGCCAAGCTGAAAGGCGGCACTGCTAGCCGTGGTGCCAAGCCAGAGCGGCACTGCTAGCCGTGGTGCCAAGCTAGAGGCGGCACTGCTAGCTGTGGTGCCAAGCTAGAGGCGGCACTGCTAGCTGTGGTGCCAAGCTAGAGGCGGCACTGTTAGCTGTGGTGCCAAGCTAGAGGCGGCACTGCTAGCTGTGGTGCCAAGCTAGAGGCGGCACTGCTAGCTGTGGTGCCAAGCTAGAGGCGGCACTGCTAGCTGAGGCGGCACTGTTAGCTGTGGTGCCACTCTATATCTGTCATTATACAGTAGTGCTGAGTCACCTGTTGTGTCTCGGAACGCTCTTCAGTTCATTCCGAAAACAAGTTTGTGTACAAAACAGATGAACATCAGTAATTAGAAGAGTTTTGTCACAATATCCATTAAATTAATTTACAATAATAATTAAGAAATCAATACAAGAAATAGTTTTTTGTGCGGATGAGCTGCTTGTTGTGGTGGGGAGTCGTCCGCGGCGAAGTGATACACACATGTACAGTTCTACAGTACTAATGTTCTACAGCGGTGACGTGTGTATCAAAGAGGAAGTGAACACTGTAGTAGTCGGAGTGTTCTTTGTACAAGTTAATACTGCCCTCCTGCTATATGTACACTGTGTACACTACAGCTCATGTACCCAGTACTGTGCGTACATCTCAGCTTATGTATACGGTACTATGTGTACACCACAGCTCATATACAGTAGGTAAAGCAACTATCTGTGTATACTTTGTGGGGAACAATATGAGACCATGGATGATAAATTATGGTATATGAGGGCTGTCACTAGTCACACGTAACATTTATGAGACCATGGACGATAAATTGTGGTATATGAGGGCTGTCACTAGTCACACGTAACATTTATGAGACCATGGACGATAAATTATGGTATATGAGGGCTGTCACTAGTCACACGTAACATTTATGAGACCATGGACGATAAATTATGGTATATGAGGGCTGTCACTAGTCACACGTAACATTTATGAGACCATGGACGATAAATTATGGTATATGAGGGCTGTCACTAGTCACACGTAACATTTATGAGACCATGGACGATAAATTATGGTATATGAGGGCTGTCACTAGTCACACGTAACATTTATGAGACCATGGATGATAAATTATGGTATATGAGGGCTGTCACTAGTCACACGTAACATTTATGAGACCATGGATGATAAATTATGGCATATGAGGGTTGTCACTAGTCACACGTAACATTTATGAGACCATGGACGATAAATTATGGTATATGAGGGCTGTCACTAGTCACACGTAACATTTATGAGACCATGGATGATAAATTATGGTATATGAGGGCTGTCACTAGTCACACGTAACATTTCAGGGAGCATATCGACCCCCACCTGCACAGATAGTTGTTTTAGCTACTGTACGCTGTAGAACTATGGATACACTCTGTACATCGGCTACAACAGCTGGTAAAATGAGGACCACAAGTGAACCTCAGATAATGGTGCCGGGTTAAGGGGGATAATGGTTTCGGGTTAAGGGGGATAATGGTGCCAGGTTAAGGGGGATAATGGTGCCGGGTTAAGGGGAAGATAGAATAGTTGTTTATGGTAATTTATTTAACTTAAGCTGCGGTAATGGTAATTTATTTAACTTAAGCTGCGGTAATGGAAACTATTTAACTTAAGCTGCGGTAATGGTAACTATTTAACTTAAGCTGCGGTAATGGTAACTATTTAACTTAAGCTGCGGTAATGGTAACTATTTAACTTAAGCTGCGGTAATGGTAACTATTTAACTTAAGCTGCGGTAATGGTAATTTATTTAACTTAAGCTGCGGTAATGGTAACTATTTAACTTAAGCTGCGGTAATGGTAATTTATTTAACTTAAGCTGCAGTAATGATAATTTATTTAACTTAAGCTGCGGTAGTGGTAAATTTCTCAACCTTACCAGCTGTAATGGTAATTTATTTAACTTAAGCTGCGGTAATGGTAATTTATTTTAACTTAAGCTGCGGTAATGGTAATTCATTTAACTTAAGCTGCGGTAATGGTAATTTATTTAACTTAAGCTGCGGTAAAGGTAAATTTCTTATCCTTAGCTTTCGTACTGAAAATTTTGTATAAGTTTAGCTGAGGTACAATTCCTTTAAAATTATCTGTAGTAATATTTTTAGCTGTGGTGAATAGCATAAATCTACTTTTAGCTGCGATAATACCAATATTTAGCTGTGGTACTGGAGGCTAATTAAATTTTAGCTGCTAAATTGACAACTAATAAAGCTATAACAACCCGACTGGTTATTAAGCTAAATTTGTGATGATAACTGTGGTTTTAGCTGTGGTAATGGTATTTCCTGTAACATCATCTGTGGGTATATTTTTCATTGGTTTAAATCAAACTTTAGCTGCGGTAGTGGGTCTTTAGCTGCGGTAGTTATAATTAATGGTTACGCCGCAGTTAGGAAATAATGCTGTAACAATTAACAATATATAATGCGTGACATAGGTTAGGTTAGGTTAGGTTAGGTTTGGTGGGTCTTGGATTCAGCGGTTTAAAGGGTTAAAATATTTGGAGTTAAGGGAAGGCTGTAAGACTTAGTTTGTGAAGGTAAGGGCAGCGTGGAGGAATGTGGAGGAGCGTTTAGAGACGTGGAGGAGCATGGAGGGCCGTAACGGAGCGTGGAGGGCCATGGAGGGAGGTTCACTGGGCCATGGAGTGGAGGAGGGCAGCGTGGAGGGCCGTGGAGGGAGGTTTACTGGGCCATGGAGTGGAGGAGGGCAGCGTGGAGAAAGGGGCGGTGATCGTGGTCGGGGAGGGCCATAGTAGTGTAGGAGTGAAGGGCTGGAGGGGAGGGCCCGGCCATGGAGGACTGGAGGTGTGGAGGCATCTGATAGGGGGAGGCAGGAGAGCGGCCGAAGGAGTGGAGGGGTGAGTGCGGGAGGCCGTGGGGTGAGGCCAGGGGTGGACTCACAGAGCGGGGGGGCGACTCAGCACCGCCCTCCCGAGTAGTGTGGTCATCACGGCCAATAAGGGAGTCGATGGTGAAGGGCTTGTGGGTGCGGGGCGCTGAGGGCTGCGTCAGCGTGGAGGGCGACGGAGGCGACGACGGCGGCTGTAGTGACGGCCCACAGGGGGACTTGAGTGGGGGCTGCACCCCGGGGTGTGTAAGCCCCGCGGGCAGCGCCAGGGGCTTGACGGGTGTAGGGTGTAGGAGTGGAGTGTTTCCGGCCTGTAGCGGCAGGATGGGCCGAACATGACGAGCCAGGTCCAGGTGCGGCAGACCCAGGTGCAGGCCGCCTAGGTGTGGCAGATAGGGCGGCGGTGGCAGGAGAGGCGGCCGCTGTAGTATAGGGTGATGGGGCCCCAGTAGGGCCGCCGCCTGCTGTAGCTGCTGCTGCTGGAAGGGGTCTAACATACCAGAGGTGAAGAGTGAGAACACGTGGGGGTCGGTGAACAGGTCCGGTGCCGGCTGTCTCTTGTACCGCTTGCGGCGCCTGAGGAAGGAGCCGTTGTCAAACATGTCAATGGCGCCCGGGTCAAGGGTCCAGTAGTTACCTTTGCCGGGATTGCCAGGCTCTCTGGGAACCTTGACGAAACAGTCGTTAAGAGAGAGGTTGTGGCGGATAGAGTTCTGCCAGGCAGGAAACTTGGCCTTATAGTAAGGGAACCTGTTCATGATAAACTCACAGATCTCACTCAGTGTTACTCTCTTCTTGGGCGCCTGGAGGATGGACATAGTGATCAGGGCGATGTAGGAGTAGGGCGGCTTTACCAGGCCTCCGCCCTTCTCTCCATCCTCCTCTCCGCCTTCCTTCCCCAACTCGCGGGCGTCTCCTGGGGATGTGGGCGGGGGCGGGCTGGAGCCTTCGGGCATGTGGGTGGTGTCGTCGGAAGGTCCCATGTCTTTCTCCTCCATGGGTGGCTCCTGCTGGGCCTCCCCGCCGCCCCGCCCCGCACCACCCGCCGCTTCCAGCACCCCGCCCTGTTGTTCCTCCTGTAGCTGGTGGTCGTGGTGGAGGCTGTGGTCGTGGTGGAGGCTGTGGTCGTGGTGGAGGCTGTGGTCGTCGTCCACCAGCATGTCGTGGTCAGGGTGTTCGCCGCCCTCAACACGGGTGTCGTCGTCAGTGGGTGGCGGGGGCGGAGAGGGGGCGTGGTGGGCGGCCAGGAAGGGGGAGAACTGCGCCGCCCCTCGCTGCTGTTGCTGCTGCACGTGTCTGTCAAACAGCGCTCGTGCCGCCTGGGCGCGCTCCTGCACATGGCGCTCCAGCGCTGACCTCTCCATCAGGGACCTTTCTAGCACAGACCGGTCCAGCCCTTCCTGGACCCTCTCACCGCTACAGCGGTCCACCATTGGGCGGTCCAGACCTAACCGTTCCAGGAAGGAGCGGTCCAGGTAGTGACGGTCATAAGGGCGGTCGCCCACGTGTCGGTCCGTCGACGACCGCTCTGTACAGCGGTCGGGAATCTGTCGCTCCATTAGCGGCTTCTCGAAAAATATTCTGTCGGCCAAGAACTTGCCGGCGGCGTCCGTCTGGTCCAGCTGGGCCGGTCGGTCCAGGTGGAGCCGAGGGTCATATAGGCCAGGTTGGGGGTCACGGAACAACGAGGGGTGACCCAACCCGTCGCCCCCAAGACCCAGGTCAGAGTCACTAGCCATTATGGTCCGAAAGTGATCCCGGGAGAACTCAGTTAGCACACAACATGGGGTCGTCAAAGAGCGCCTCGAACCACAGTACTGAATGAGGCACACCGAGTGTGAGCCAGCCAGCCAGGGGGAGGAACACTAACACAGAGCGTGGCTGAGGGTCCGTCCCATCTGGGGGTTGAGCGCTCACTGCCCAGCCTCCTATTATCTTAATGGTTTTATCGCACTTTGTCCACCAACTGCTGCCTCGGCCCGGTACACACACATTTTCATTCTTGTCGCCAAAGTTTAAGTTGAGCGCCACTTTAGCTGTACAATCTGCGCTACCCATGCCTTCACTATGATAACTACCCAATCAATACGTCCGCCCGCTCCTCCCGCGCGTCATCTGGGCGTGGCTTCATCCCCTTACCCAATCACAAGCCTTCTAGGGAGGAGTCACATCCAGTAGGCGGGGCCAAATTCCGATGCACAGAATGTAAACAACCGATTATTGCCAGTTACACCCAATCCCAGGACTATAATCACCTTATTAACGCTATCTTAACGACCCATAACTACTCTAGAATTATATATAAACAATAATTTACCTTAGAATTTATTATAATTATTAAATATATTATATATTTTATGGGATAACGCTAAAAAAATGGTCTAAGATATGGGTCAGGTAGTGGTGGTGAGGGGGGCGTGGCTTACCAGCAGCTGAGGAGCCAACACTGGTTACTGTCTTGGGAGCCACACGCACACGCACACGCACACGCAAGCCTCCGTCCACACTCAATTCTCTTATAAACTCTGCTTATAAACACACACAAGCCTCATGTCACACGTAATTCCTACGCCTTATCCTTTCTCATACTCCAACGCGCACTCAAATCTCCTCCATACACGCACAACACGCAACTGTTAACTGGACACGCAAAGTTTCACACACACACACACATGCCTACCTCATAACGCAACTCTCACGCAAACACGAATTACCAACGCAATATCCATTAACTTCAGGTGTACACGCAATACTTGCTTTATGCTCGCAATTCCTATCTGTGCATGCACGCCACGCAAGCAACCTTCCAGCGTGCACGCAAATTTAATTACATACAAAACTTTTTTCCTATCCACACAAACATACTTCATGCACGCAAATCGAACCACATGCAACAGATACGCACACGCAGTTTTTACGGGAATGACCTCTGGTGCACGCATACTGCTTCAGAACTTGTTTAAAATTATATATATATATATATATATATATCGCACGCAAATATCACTACATGCACGCAAATATCACTACATGTATGCAAATATCACTACATGCACGCAAATATCACCACATGCACGCAAATATCACTACATGCACGCAAATATCATTACACTGCACGCAAATATCACTACATACACGCAAATATCACTACTTGCACGCAAATATCCCTACATGCACGTAAATATTACTACATGCACGCAAATATCACTACATACACGCAAATATCACTACTGGCACGCAAATATCACTACATACACGCAAATATCACTACACGCAATATCACTATATACACGCAGGTATCACTACATGCACGCAAATATCCCTACATGCACGCAAATATCACTACTGGCACGCAAATATCACTACATACACGTAAATATTACTACATGCACGCAAATGTTACTATTGGCACGCAAATATCCCTACATGCACGTAAATATTACTACATGCACGCAAATATCACTACATACACGCAAATATCACTACTTGCACGCAAATATCCCTACATGCACGCAAATATCACTACTGGCGGCACGCATAATATCACTACATACACGCAAATATCACTACATACACGCAAATATCACTATATACACGCAGGTATCACTACATGCATGCAAATATCCCACATGCACGCAAATATCACTACTGGCACGCAAATATCACTACATACTCGCAAATATCACTACATACACGCAAATATCACTACATACACGCAAATATCACTATATACACGCAAATATTAATACATGCACGCAAATGTCACTATTGGCACGCAAATATCACTACATGCACGCAAATATCACTACATACACGCAAATATCACTACATACACGTAAATATTACTACATACACGCAAATGTCACTATTGGCACGCAAATATCACTACATGCACGCAAATATCACTACATGCACGCAAATATCACTACATGCACGTAAATATTACTACATGCACGTAAATATTACTACATGCACGCAAATATCACTACTGGCACGCAAATATCACTACTGGCACGCAAATATCACTACATGCACGTAAATATCACTATGCACGCAAATATCACTACATACACGCAAATATCACTACATGCACGTAAATATTACTACATGCACGCAAATATCACTACATGCACGCAGGTATCACTACATACACGCAAATATCACTACATGCACGCAAATATCACTACATGCACGCAGGTATCACTACATGCACGCAAAAATCACTTCATGCACCCAAATATCACTACATGCACGCAAATTTGACTACATGCACGTAAATATCACTACATGCACGCAAATATCATTACATGCATGCAAATAACACTACATGCACGTAAATATTACTACATGCACGCAAATATCACTACATACGCAAATTTCACTATTACATGCACGTAAATGTCACTACATGCACGCAAATATCACTACATGCACGCAATATCACTACATACACGCAAATATCACTACATGCACGCAATACTTACATGCACGCAAATTTCACTACAAGCACGTAAACATCAATACTGGCACGCAAATATCACTACATACACGCAAATATCACTACATGCACGTAAATATTACTACATGCACGCAAATATCACTACATGCACGCAGGTATCACTACATACACGCAAATATCACTACATGCACGCAAATATCACTACATGCACGCAGGTATCACTACATGCACGCAAAAATCACTTCATGCACCCAAATATCACTACATGCACGCAAATTTGACTACATGCACGTAAATATCACTACATGCACGCAAATATCATTACATGCATGCAAATAACACTACATGCACGTAAATATCACCATGCACGCAAAATCATCACGCACATAAATATCACTTAACGCAAATATCACTTCATGCACCTAGGTATCACTACATGCACGCAAATATTAATACATGCACGCAATGTCACTACATGCACGCAAATAACACTACATGCACGTAAATATCACTACATGAACGCAAATATCACTTCATGCACATAAGTATCACTACATGCACGCAAATATCACTACATGCACGCAAATGTCACTACATATACGCAAATATCACTACATGCACGCAGGTATCACTACATACACGCAAATATCACGTACGTAAATATTACTACATGCACGCAATGTCACTACATGCACGTAAATATTACTACATGCACGCAAATATCACTACATGCACGCAAATATCACTACATGTATGCAAATATCACTACATGCACGCAAATATCACCACATGCACGCAAATATCACTACATGTATGCAAATATCACTACATGCACGCAAATATCACTACATACACGCAAATATCACTACATGCACGTTAATATTACTACATGCACGCAAATATCACTACATACACGCAAATATCACTACATGCACGCAGGTATCACTACATACACGTAAATATTACTACATGCACGCAAAAATCACTTCATGCACCCAAATATCACTACATGCACGCAAATATCACTACATGCACGTAAATATCACTAAATGCACGCAAATATCACTTCATGCACATAGGTATCACTACATGCACGCAAATATCACTACATGCACACAAATTTCACTGCATGCACGCAAATATCACCACATGCACGCAAATATCACTACATGTATGCAAATATCACTACATGCACGCAAATATCACTACATACACGCAAATATCACTATGCACGTTAATATTACTACATGCACGCAAATATCACTACATACACGCAAATATCACTACATGCACGCAGGTATCACTACATACACGTAAATATTACTACATGCGCACAAAATCACTTCATGCACCCAAATATCACTACATGCACAAATATCACTACATGTAAATAATCACTAAATGCACGCAAATATCACTTCATGCACATAGGTATCACTACATGCACGCAAATATCACTACATGCACACAAATTTCACTGCATGCACGCAATTTTTTTCCTTAAACATACAAACCTCTCACATGTACGTAAATATCGCATGTACGTAAATCTTACATGCATGCAATTATCTTGAGTGTATCCATGTCACACACACACACACACACCATCCTCGACACCGGCTCCTACTACCACCTGAGATCCCTCGCCCGAGAATTGCGGTTCGACACCACAACCACATCCAGCCCATACGAGCACGAACTGATCGCTATAAGAACAGCCCAGTCCCAACCATTGTAAAAATTATCAACAACTTGTAATAAACCAGTGTATTCACTCCCAGTAAACACTACTCCTTACACTGTCACTATGTTGAAATGAACTGTAGTATGACCTTCTCCCCACCTAGTTATTATATGTCTTATTTGTGTCACTTATGTTACTTGTATATTATTTGTAAATCGAAACCCATTCACCAATTATGTAACTGTATATTTTCACCCTTCTGGCTGCTATGCTGTTTCAATAAACCGTTAGTTATTACTATTATTATTATTATTATTACACACACACACACACACACTATATGATATAATGGTTTCCAATGTTATAGCAAAAGAATATATAGTAGGTGTAACAAGAAATATTAATGCTTAGACAATAGGTATTTTTTAAGAGATGATTTAAAGGAAGGGAGCGGAGTCTTTGCTGGGATGGGTCAGTTGTTCCACACCTTCACACTGGGATATTTTATGGAGGTCTGGGACTGAGAGGAGCACATGGGGGTTGGTCTTAGTAGCTCTGGGGGCCTTAAGTTGTATCTCTGATTATTACGGAACTGGGAATAATTATTGTGTAGCAAGTGAGTCACAGATTTGTAAACAAAGAGGGCACAGCAGTAGGTGTTAATATCCTCGAATTTTAACATTTTAAATCTATCAAATTTTTCGTTTGTGTAATGTGTATTTTTTACAGGTAGGTCACTGTCCACACAACTCTCTTCTGTGCAGTAATGAGGGGCAGTGTAAATTTTTCCTTCTGTGAAAGATTGTGTAGTGGGTTTTTTCGAGGTTTAAGAACAGTTTATTACGTGTTGGTCAACTCATTGTTCATAGTTCTCTTCAAGGAATGGAGGTCTAAGTTGCTGGCATAGAGATTACTATCGTCTGTAAATAAGTTGTATTTTATGAGTGAGCTGGCGTGGACTATGTCGTTTATGTACAACAAAAACAGTACTGGACCGAGAATGGAACCTTGGGGGACTCCATACAAGATTGGCGAGGAGTCAGATTTAGTTGACAACAGTTCGGTAACATGGATCAAATAAGCTGCATTTGATTAATTTCGTGGAGCTGATTTCAAATATGGCAATACAAAATGTCAGTCACTTAACATTTTTATAATATTCGTGTATATGTAGTGTAGGAATGTAAGATACGTACTTGTGTTGGTAGGGATATA